GACTAGGCACTTATTGGTATATTCAGTATTCATTTAAAGCCATATATTGTCTGAGATTCTTAATTGCTCTGAAATGCTGAATTGGGCTTATAAAGAAACACATCATTATCATCACATTATACAGAGAATAACCTTTCTTTTTCTTACCTTAATTATATTGTTATTTATTCTACATGCTCAATTGGCATCACATGTATTGACTTTTTTAGCTGGTCAGTTAATAAGTTCTTTTTCTTGCTCATCTTGGAATGTTCTTGTTCCCGCTGCTTGAGAAAGTTACTGGCCAGGGGGCTTCAACTTTACTTTTTTGTATCTTTTATCTTCGGTAGGCCATTGTTGAATTGCTGGCATCACAGCACCGCAGCGACAAATCTGCAGGGCAATAAATATAACATCTAAAACATATGAACAAAGTCAGGCTTTGCATGATTTACACATCCTCTAATCTATTATTATTTTTATAAAGCTATTACACGCTTGTGACTATACAGAACCGTAGCTAACCCATTTTGCCTGGGGAGGGGGTGCAAAACCCAGTGCATGCATGGTGTGTTCTGGGAAGGTGACATCCATTGACCAATTTTTGTCAAATTTTTCTGGGGGGAACTTGCCCCCTCAGGGCCCCTGGCCCCTTGACCCCTCCCGCCCCGCGCTAGCTACGGGGGTATGAATAAAACCCGACCGCGACCCGGAAAACCTGCATAAAACCGCGCGACCCGGACTCGCGACTCTGACCTCGTGTCCGGGTCCGGGTTTTTATCCATCGGTCCGGTCTGGAGCCCCTCCTTGAATAATAATAATAATAATAACAATAATAACTCATTCTGCATCAGTACGGACCATTCTACACCAGTCCGAACACATTCTACATCAGTCCGGTCTCATTATGTACCAGATCCTAACCCTAACCCATTCTACACCAGTCCGCGACCCATTCTACACCAGTCCGGTTTCATTATGTACCAGTCCTAACCCTAACCCATTCTACACCAGTCCGGGACTCATTCTGTATCAGTCGGACCCATTCTATACCTGTCCGGACTCATTATGTACCAGTCCGCGACCCATTCTGTATCTATCAGTCCGGATCCATTTAGTACCAGTACGGACATTAGTCCGGGTCCGGGTTTTATGCAGGTTTTCCGGGTCCGGGTCCGGGTTTTATTCACCCCCCTAGCTACGGCCCTGGTATAATTGCTATAGTATTAGTAGGTAGATATCAAATATATCATATGTGTCAAACAACACAGCTAGGTACCTCTAGCAAATCAGCATTGTAATAGGATTCTATTCGACAAGAGCCAGAGTCAGAGTATCTCTGCATCATAGTCATAGATATTAATTAGTATAATAGTATTACTATTACTAGTATTAGTAGTAATTAGGTAAAATAGCATCATCATGAGTACTATGATATATAACATTAACATATGATTATGATGTCTGAACCTGATATTGATGTCTGAACCTGTCTCTTCCACGCTCTTGTCACCCGAGCTAAAAGTGTGTAAAGAACCACCACTATCTGATTCACAGATGGTCTTGTCTCAACCTGGGTAGAGAATATACAGAAGGATGAAAATGATTCTGCGTCAAAAGAAGAGGGACGCAGGATGAGTTTTCACGCTCAGCTTCTTGAAAGATTAACGCAGGCAAAACAGGCGACACCTTTCGGGAGAAAATGTGATAAATTAGCTGTATCCCAGGATCCACTTCGCTCAGAATTCCGTCATGGCGGCTGAGAATGGAGTGTCAAATCATGAAGGTGCTAATAAAAGTGATCAGAACGGCCTTCCGAATCAGTGGGTGCGGCTAAATGTCGGTGGAAAATGTTTCCTAACAACAAAAACAACTCTATGCCGAGATCCACAGTCATTTCTCTGTCGACTATGTCAGGAGGACCATGCATTGAATTCGGACAAGGTTTGACGTTTGTTATGTGTTCGCTTTCGAATCAATCCAGCAATCGTGATTTTCAGTCAGAGTTCTAAGTTTTTCTCTATTTTGACTTGTCCTATGTTCTTCCTCAGTACTTTCTCTAATCCCACTGGCATCCATATTCGCCAGGCTTTTGGCTGCATCAAGTGCAATGAGGTACTTATGCGAGCAGTATCGAATAATAGCATTGTAACAGCAAAGGTAAGCATGACGAAATCCAATTCAATTGGCAATCTCTAAATTCTAACACTGATAACATCATACATGGCTGGCTCAATGCTAGTTTTGGATCCCGGCCGACATTTTCACATTTTAGGATTGGGCGACTTAGCCTGACAGACCTATACTGTCTGAATATGCAGGCAGAAAGTTCTGGCAGCAATGACGAGGAAACTAAACTTTCAACTCTAATATCTAGAGAACTGGAGGCGGCTAAAATCTGTTTCTCTCTGGATAAACCCCGCACCTCGTAGAATCGAGTGCCTTGTGAAATACAAGAGAGGGTACCAAGATACAAGATACAAGATACAAGGCCGAGTAGTATCTCATATTTTGCTGTTTGCATTCAGATCGGAATACAACATTAATTATGTTGAACTAGACGGAATAATTCTGTCCCATATAACCTTTTTTATATTTTGGTGAGGGTTATTGGGACAGAACGGGGCTCATTGAAATTTCATGAGATCGCATGCAAAATGCATGCGCTGTGAATGCGGCCCGTACGCCGCTATTGGCGCAAAAAAAACCCTACCGTTCCCTTCTACATGGCTTTACCTTGTTAATGATATGTGTATACATTCAGTTCAATCGTTATTCACTTCTTAAAAGATTGTTTTTCAGAAACTCCGCTTCGTTCCACTTTCCTAACTCATTCACCATTTACAAACAATCGGACCAATCAGAGCGAGTATATCAGCCCTCCTGCAGCGCCACAGATACAAGCGAGAACCAGGCTATTGTAAGACTCGCTCTGATTGGTCTGATTGTTTGGAAATGGCGAATGATTTAGGAAAGTGGAACGAAGCGGAGTTTCTGAAAAACAATCTTTTAAGAAGTGAATAACGTTTGAAGTGAATGTATACACATATCAGTAGCAAGGTAAAGCCATGTAGAAGGCAGGGTTCTCCCTACGTTGCACAAACGGCGCGTGCGCTCCGTTTGGGAAAACTCCCCCCTGTTTCAATTGTTGCGCCCCGTTTAAATTACCTCCACCCTGATTAAATTCCACCACAATAAAAGTTTGACAGCGCGGGAATCGATCGTCAAGAATTCCCATTCGACCAGGACCACCGACGCGTGTATTTTTACCGTACAACGCATGCACTGCAGACCATACATAAGTACAAACAGTTAACCATAACCCTAACCCTAACCCTTGTTTACTTGAGATAACGCTGAAAATTAAAAACTGCCAGGCATTTAAGAAATCGAAGACCGTGCCCGGCAGCCGTCAGATATATGCCGGGTATATATATATAGCCACTCTGATAAAGCCACTCTGGCATTTTTACCCGCTTTCGGAAGTGAACGAGTGTGTCATTTATTGAACATTTTTCTTGAAGTTAAAGTTACATTGAAGTTTTTCTTAAAATTAAATTATTCCGAAAATCCCCAAATGCGCTACTCGATTGTTTTAGCCAATGAACGTGTGTGTGACGTCTTGCCCGCGCGCTTTATGCTTGGCTTAGCGGGCCTCAAAATGGATATCGGAGGCAGGCACCTCGCAACACGCGTGTTTGTTTACATATAGCTTTGTGACATCAGGATGGGCGGTGTCGTGAGTTCTGCGATGATAACCTCAGAATTTCTCAGAATTTCTTAAGGTGCATGGAACATTTTACCAATTTAGTTGTGTCAGTTAGTCACGGATATGTCACAGTAAGTACTAACTGTATATGTTTCACATACGTTCACCTATTTTGCACACAGGCGGTCCGATCAAATTTTGTCAATATATATTTTTATTGAGACGTTCCAAGTGCATGTGCTTTCAACAGTCTTGTACGTCAATGCACGTGCGTCAAGAGCCACAAACTCAACACAATTTCATCTCTGTTATTGTTTACGCCTAAATGCGTGATTGTTCAGGGAGGGCGTGCATGTAAGAGGGAGACATTTTCTTTGGGGTTTCGAAAAACACAATTCTACTTGATAATTTCGTGGGCCATTTCAATTGGAAGCTCTGCATAATGGACCCCCAACAAGCCCTTTGACCGACTAGTCAAGAAATTTAAAGGTCTGTATATTGCTCTTATTTAGCTGCCGATAGTTCTTATTTAGAACAAAGTCTTCATTGTTATCTTCTAAGTTCTAAAACTACAGACCATCTGCTGACCGCTGTGGAGACGTGCGCCGGGCCTCGAATTTGGCGCACGTCTCCACTGCGGACAGCGCTTCATACTTGAACATCCCCGCGGTCGCGTGCGCATATCCCGCGGAACTGCGCGTCTCATCCGCGCTCAGGATCAAAGCTGTGCCACGCAATCTTGTATCATGTCTTTCTGGATTTCAAACAATCAGAAATATGTGGAAACACTAAACACCCAGTCAATGCCTTTATAATTACAAATTCTTTTGTGTGGCAAGAAGGCAGCACCCTAAAGCTAACTGATTACTTCGCTTTCGCCAATGCATGTACGTCAGTCATTAATGGCAACAAAAATTTTTGAAATTGGTCTGTTGTTGTTGGAGCCAGCATTAGTTAGGATTTCACTAACCACATTATGATGCAAAAAATAGTTACTGCACCATGCAAACTACTTTAGAATTAGCTGAGACACTCTGCTGTTATCTATCAATATATTATGCGGAAGCAGTAGCTATGGGCACTGATTAACTCGACCCAACTGCTAATTAGGCTCACATTGTGGTGAGTTTACCCGCCTAGAGGCCAGCCAGCTCAGCTTGTGGGTCGAGATGACCTGCCTGGAGGTCCTCTGAAATAAAAGTGTCCTTGACTTTAGTGCAATATATGTAAGGTATGGTAGGGGATTATTTCTGTGTGGTTAGTTTTAAAAGGTGGTTGATGTATTTGTATTGTATGTAAATCAGGAGTAGATAATATAAGTGTCTGGTATTTAAGATGATATTCTATTAGAGGCACTTTTAGTTGTTCTCTAATTCTAGTAGCTGCACTTGCTTGTCTATAGTTAGCCTGTGAGTTGAGCTGTCCGATCTCCAGGCGGGTAATGAACTTATGTAGATCCACGAGCCGAGCTGGCGGACCTCCAGGCGGGTAATCTCAGTTCAGTCAACACACAGGTCGAGTTTGCTGGGAAGCAAGTTGATTAAGGACTAAGGATCGTAGCTATTAGTAGCAAGAGTAGATAATAATAATAGATAATAATGTGTTATTATCTACTCTTGGTAGTAGTGATAAAATCAGGATCTATAACAATTTACATTTTATGTATGAATATACATGTCAGGTTCGGGGTTTGAATTTAACTTTTTAGACAACTCGCATTTTCTCCAATTGGGTTAAATACATCTACTTGCAAAATCGGAAACCTACTCGAAATGTTTAAATTTATTTACTGTAAGGCATGCGTAAGCCAGCACTAGTTTGAATAGTCGTTGATTCATATTTCAGCCCATCTAAACGGTTTTAACACACAGAATTTCCACGTGAGTCTGCTAAGGCGGTTGGAAAATCAAGCAAAATGAATGATGCGGAAAATTTTATTAAGATCGTCACACCAACATATGATAAGTCAGCTTTTTTGGTGCACTTTGGTCATCCTGTATGGAAATGAAGGCATTCGAACGACTGACATAAGAAATGCTGTCTGCAAGCTCAGCTAAACTGTGAGGAAACACAGCACAGTTACGGTAATTTCTCTTGACAGTATCTTGATATTTATCGCATCATGAAAGGTTTATCCTGACACGGATCGTATCGTGAACTACCCGTACGGTCTCACCCCTAGTTTAAATGTTCGGTGTTGCTATACTCCCCTGCAGTGGAAGGGGAAATGTTGTTTGTTGTATTCCAAAAACCTCCACGCGACCTGGCAATAATTAATCAGTTATCAGTTAGTTTGTTGATGCTGAGGATAAAATTAACAGGTTTAAAAAAAATCTTACTTTACATAGCTTTGGAAGCAGGATGAAAAAACATCACAGGCAGCTAAGCAGAGATTAGATAAATACACTGCCGGGAGATTATTAAAAAGTGGACCTGCTAAGTACGGGGAGAATATGAACAGTTTTAAATCAGGAGCGTATAATGACAAAATTGTCATTATATGACAATTTAATGTGACAATTTAATTAAATGACAATTTGTCATTATACGCTTCTGTTTAAATGTTACTGCTGTGACATTTCATTCCTGTCTAATAATTTTTAACAAGTTTTGGGTATGACTCTAATGGCCTTCAATTTTCAAAATGTTTACATGGTAGTCAATATCTGTAGAGCAGGGTCGGAGCAACATCAATTAACCCATTTATTTTTGCTAACAATCTCTAGTAAACTTTCAAAACAGTGGATATCGATGTTATGCAACAATCAGGTGGTCAACAAATATCGTTTCGCGCTCTATGATGGTGGAGCCTCAGTAAGGGGTTCCTTGCCCGCTCTAGACTTACGAATTTGTTATCATTAGTACACTTCACCCCCGAAATAATTCAGCGATAACTCGGTGATCAGTCGACACCGCCACTGCATCTTAGGCCATACAAGTTCAGATTAGTCTGTCACGCATTGCAGCGCATGTACCAGCAAGCACTGTTAAATCAATAGCAAGAGCCACGCTGGTGTCAGTCTCAGCACCTGGTGGGCGCGAGGTCGTGTGTAAATAATGCTTCTGCATGCAAATTGCAAGCGAGTGGTCGCGCTGCAGTGACCAATGTATTTACTCGCCTGTTACTGTTAGTGAACAGTGATGTGAGTTTTGGTCGCCATGTAGAACACTGTGTATAAACCTACTCGCAAAAAATAACGAACCTAAATTTTCCACAACTTTACTTTTTTTTGGAAATCCACTTGCCTTTTATTGTATATATTAATAGATATATACACTGTCATCATTAATAAATGTGAAGGATTACTCCTGATCCCAGTAATTTCTCTCCAATTTTAGATCCTGTATTTGATAAGAAATTTAAGTCAATTGATTTACATGAATCTAATTGTAAGTGTTCAGCCATGGTTTCGTATTTTAAAATCTGTCATTTCAAATAGAAAGGTGAGCCTAGCTGATTTATGCAATGTCAAAATTTACCAGTGAAAACTGAAAGTTTACATAGAGAATGAATGCTAGGCACAAACTCGTGTTAAAACTAGTAAGTCTCATACAGCAATGCTACACATGTAAGAACCGACATTCTGTTCTTTCTGTAACTGTGACGAATGCGCCTTGAACAATTTTTTATAAAGTGTTTCGAATGCTTCTCCCTTGTTTGTGGTGATGAACATTCTTGTTTTGCTTAGACGTACAATTGCCTTTCTGCCAGTTTCTGGCATCTTGGCAGGTTACAAATTCTGACAAATACTTTGGCAGTCTGATGTTGAAATGTAGATTGTAATAACTTGTGTACGTCAGAGTAAGCATAAGACTAAGAGCTTCTCATCTAAATTCCAAAATCTGCTTGAACACAAAGTGCACAATGCGCTTGCAATACGTTCCGACTAGTAAGTGGCATATTCCATGCAAAGTTTGCTGCTGATTTGCATGTACTTTGCATATATTGATGTAAGGTCTGCACTCAAGCTTTCTGGCGTTTTCAGAGACATTTTATGCATACATCTTTTGAGCAGCGAGATATGAATGTTTCTACATCACAAGCGACATTTCTTCCACGTTTTATAATTAGTGCATCTTTTAGTAGCTAATGATTCTATAGTTAAACCTGTGTTAGCGTTCATTTCGATAGAATAACCATCTGTCTGTATAGGGTCCGCATTTGGCATTTACCTTGAGTGAAACTCATAGGCTAATGGTTTGGCTGTATGAAATTGAGGCAATCTAATAATATTAATTTTGGTTTTAAGAATAAAAAATTTCATACGTGAAATGTCGTACTCCGAATTAATTTACATATTAACGAACATTTACCATTAGCATGATCCAGTGTTTCAATCATACACTGATGCTATATAGTATATACTACAATACCGGTGTAGCAAATGACAATTGCTGTACTGCTTGCTTAGTTTCATTTTTACGAGGTGTATATAAATGGTTTTAAGGTGTATATATGTTTTATGATGGAATAACCAGCTTATAGTATGAGTTAGCTGCACACAGTCATGATATTTCATAAATATATTTTAAGCTATAACCGTTTAAATCAGGGAAGTAAGTTAGTAGAATTTTTAAGCTAGTGACCAAAGTCATGGGTGTCGCAGTAGCGACATTGTTTTACGATAATGCAAGTGTCAGACCGAGCTCTACATGCTAGTAGTGAGTCATTGTAATATTCCCATCTACTTGGATGCTAATCCATCACTTCTTCCACATGAGATAATGATAGAGCCGCATGAATAACTATTCACAGCAGCTTCATTTCTCGAATAAGTTCTGATTCATGAGTAAATCAGGAGCAATGTGATGCATGTGATGGTATTCTGTAGATAATGTTACCCGCCTGCATGCCTAGCAGGGTGGAATGCACTGTTGACTAATTCGGTCTTGTTTGCTTTTGCCGTTTCTATCTTGGAATCTGGAGACGAACGTGAGATTCTCTTGCTGTGCGCTTTATAGGGCCTGTTTATTTTGCTAGGCCAGTCATCTGCAAAACAAGATTCACAACACATATAATGTGTGCAATAGGAGTGTTGAGTAAGATATCGATGTGTAATGTGAGGTGTGTGTGTGTGGGGAGGGGTTCCGCGAAGAGAAACTTAATATGCACATGGATGGAGTGAGTGATAGAGATGGGCGGTGGGCAGCATATATCACATGTATCTTGTATCTTGTATCTTGGGGTCCCTCCCTTGTGAAATACAAGAGAGGGACACCAAGATACAAGATACGAGATACATGAACACACACAGTAGAGATAACCGTGGAGTTAGAGTAGGAAGGATACTTGGCTCAGATAGCGAGAAGGAAAGCAATGCCACAGTCATACAGTGTGATAGATATATAGAGAGTAATAGAGAGATATGGCTGCTTTTCATGGCTAATGTTATAACCTGATTGAATATTAGTAATATATCATAGTTTGACATGTATCCTAGATTGTACATCCTTTTGTCAACCTTGAGATATAATGGTTAAAGAAAATACAGATGCTGTATATATATATGTGATATAGGATAGTTCTTATATAGGCCTACGCATAGTTGTATTAAAAAATGGTGAGCTACACCCCATTTGGCGGTGCAATAACTACAAAAATCACATCGCATTTATTTAGTTAACACTGGGTTGTAAAATTATTATTGAGTCATTATTTTGCGTGCCCGTAATATATTGATGTAAGTTATATATAGCAGGAGAGGACGTTAACCTATACATGTATACAATTTATCCTCTTGGAATGCGTGCAATCGCAATCTTGAGAGCTCAGGTTCTTCATGCAACAATCACATGCATTATACAATTATACGCCTCACATGAATCAGGTGTGAATCTCCAGGTGTACGCAGGCCACCATAGTTTACAAGGTTACCGATACCTGCAGAATAGACATAGATTGAAAACCACAAACTGACACCTGTACGTGTGCTCTACGTTACTATCAGTTCTGCCAATTATTAACAATAACATTAATTTGTAAAGCAAGCGAATGTATTTTTCTTGCAGGATGAGTCCGGCGCATATTTGATAGACAGAGATCCTACATTTTTCGGTCCCGTCCTTAACTACTTGCGACACGGGAAACTCGTGATCAACAAACATCTAGAAGAAGAAGGTAAGAATTGACCTAGATGAGAAACTTATGTGATTGACACTCAGCTTTAACCAATCATTGTTGTGGTAGGAGTAAGGGACGTCATAAATTATTATATTTGTCAACGAAGGGCCACAAACTTGACAATCTGGGGGTTTGCTTGACCGCCATAGCAACAAAATCTAAGGAAACAATTATCTTGCTCAGATGGCTAGAACAATTGGAGCCGGGTATTGGGCTTAGCGTATAGCTATGTTCCTGCGTGTATGTTCCTGCGTATAAGGTATACACCTGTGTGCTTTAGCACACCCGTAGGCATGCCATTACACACCTGTAGATATTATTTTACGTATTATACTTTCTTACACCTGTAGGTCTATGACTTGTAGGTGTGCTCGTTTACAGCTGTAGATCTATATACTCGTACATGTGTGCTGCATTCCCGTTGCTTGCTCTAATGCAGACGACTGCCTTATCCAGTGGGCTTCATCTCTGTGTTTGTACTACTGACTCAATCCTTGTACACGCTCATTTGATTTCATCACGGGGTGTGCATGTATGCAATGGTCAGGTGTTGCTTATCATGCAGCGATACAAGCATAGTAGCACGAGTCGATCGCTGGGTATGGTTATACCTTCCCCTTGCTGATGGTTCATGAATCTAAGGAACGTACGTACGGTCAGTGGTAGAGCGGGCAGTTATGCGAAGCTTGTTAAAATTCTCGGTCCGTCTCGTTCGAATTGGCCGTCATCTGGGCTGTTGAGATTTACCATCTTTAGTTACCCATTAGCGGTGCGCGGCACTGTGCAGGAACCAGCGCACACAGACTGCTCTGAATCCAGAATAGCACCGTCTCCTAACGTGTTTGGTCTGAGGATGGGTCGGCGTTGGGTTTAGATCTCTGGTTTTGAACGGTCCAGCTGTGCAGGGTGTTGGCGTTTGCCACACGCATTGCTCGCTTTCCTCGTGTTCATGGTCTCAATTTCAGACTCAGAGCAAACCTTTCATCAGGTCAATTGTGTTATGGCTTTCTTACGTATTTCTTATGTTAAACCCCAGAGCACCTATCGTCGGTATATGTCACTCTGTAAAGGCAGAGCTAAAATTCGAACTGATTTAAAAAAAAAAGATATGTATTGTTGATTGTATAAAAAGCAATACTTGCACAAAAACAATTTTTTAGATACAGTTAGGCCTACATTCGGATTGTCGGGAGGTTCATTTTATTTTAAGCAGATTTGTCACACGATGAGCAGTTTTGTTGGTTTATAATTGATTTGATTTATTAATAATTGACTTGGATTTGATTTGATTTTGATTGTTGGTTGATTTGAACTACATATCTGTGTAGATCGACCCTAAACCTAAAGAAAGTTTGAGTCCTGGGTAATCAGCATGGGGCTTTAGAATGACTGAATATTCACAACTGCCTGATCCTTTGCAGTATCCTAAAATCTGGTTGCCCGAAAAATGCAAGCAAAGCGGATGTCAGTGAGCCGAGGAAGCAGGGAGCAATCTGTGGGCAAGCCGCAATGACTTCAATCCTTAACAATATGATCCCAATAGATGCTAGTCTCATTTCTACTGGGAGTGACTGGCCGTCCACCAGCGCCGCAGGATTTTGTGTGGTAGTTTTTTTGGCTATAGATACATGTCTGATAAAGACATCTGCACTCTATTATGTTCTAAGTAGAGCAGATTTGCACGTTTCTGGTCTTTACCTTACCCGCGATATGCTCCCATACTAGCCCTGCTAGCATCCATTGTAGCACTGTAACATCACCTTCGAATGTCATCGCCTACAGCACTTATGGTCAGTGTTATCTAATAGGCATGCAGTTGGCTGTAGGTGTCACTAGGTGCCATTGATTACAGTGTTTAGATGGTTTGCGTTCTCTGTATAATGGCCCTCTAGTGTCATCGGCTCCCAAATGCCACTCCTGTGCAATTATGCCCCAGCGGTGGTTGTCATGCTCTTGGTATCAGGTCTCTAGAGCGAAAGAGCGTCACACGAGCTGGCTCTGCCATGCTGATGGGGATCGGATGCGCTGGTCTATCGATTCCGGCAAGTCAGCAAGTGTATTGTGAGCCTCGAATAAGGTCTTCATTGAGCTAGGTCTGGGGTCGTGTAGCTTGATGCGGTGTTGATGCAGTCTGAACAGTCAGAGACAGATTGTGTTCGTGATAGCAGTGTCGATATAATACACACACCGAGACGCACGCAGCACCACGCACCTACACACGCACGCACGCACCGACAAACCACACACGACCACACACACAATGCACGCACGCACGCACGACAGCAACCACACAGCACACAAACGTGATATAATATATATATTATAGTATTAAATATATATTAACATTCGCCTCTCGCAAATCTACACAGCTTTGTAAGAGCATTGAGAATTTTAATATACATTTAGAAGCGTCTATTGTGAACTTCGTTCGATTAGCTGCGCAATTACTGGCATGTGCGCGATTTTTTTCCATTTAAAATGGAACAGCGAGCAGATCGTTCAATACGATATTTCTCACATTACTCTGGAATTTTTTCGTGATGCAAATAATGACAATTTTTTCGTCGCAACGAGATTGCATTCATGGCGTGCGCACCGTGATGCTGCTGCTTCTGAATGGCTGCTAGCTCTCATGAATATGGATTTCATTCTAGGCAAGGCAATCATCGAAAAGTTATGTATATACATACGACAGCACGCACGCACGCGCACACGACGAATGCACGCGTGCACGCGCACCCACAGTGTGCAACGATCACACCCACATATACACACGCACACGTACGAGGTGCATATACGCAGTACCCCCTCACCCGCAACGCACGAGTCGCATGCACCGACGCAGACCCTCAGCGACAATTCTGTTTGCTCGTCGCTTGAAATTGTCAGCTGTCCTGTAAACTTCAACATTCCTGGCGACGCCTTCTTAAGCTGCGTGCTGCTATATGTATGTAGCATCGAGCTTCATGTGTTCCAGAAGTAGATAATCTACTATCCCCATTATCCCGCCTATCTATCCTTAGTTATCCCTATTGATAGTTATATATTCTTATATTATATAATTGATTGTTTTTATTATTATTTTTATTTAATTATACTATTATATTCTATATTCTATATTATTATTATATATATTATATATATTATTCCTATTATCTACTTCTAATGTGTTTGTAACTATCGGAGCAAGCCGCTGCTGGCTTGATATCTTCTGCAGCATCTCAATGTATCACAGTTGTTGGGGGTGGCTGTGGGGTCAGGTTAGCTTGCCTCGAGTAGTACTGCATCGCTGCTGACAGATCGATAAACACAGGTTGAGCCTCACGCCGCAGGAAAGGTTACGGGCAATCTAGATTAAAACGCTGAATTTTGCAGAATGCGCGGAGCGGGTTGGAATTCAACCTGGCTTTCTCTCTCGCACAGACGCCATGACCTTTTCGTGAGCGGTGTGCATGGTTTTTAGTGGTCAGTATAAATTGTACGGTCTCCCTAAGGAGTTGGTTCAAGGATTCAAGCTGTGAAGAAAGTCAAGGAGTCAAGGCATCAAGAGTTCAAGAGAAGTCAAGGAGTCAAGAGTTCAAGGAGAAGTCAAGCATCAAGAGTTCAAGAGAAGTCAAGGAAGTCAGAGTTCAAGGAGAAGTCAAGGAGTGCAAGAGTTCAAGACCGAAGATCAAGGAGTCAAGAGAAGTCACGGAGTCAAGAGTTCAAGAGGAGTCAAGAGTTCAAGAGAAGTCAAGGAGTCAAGAGTTCAAGAGAAGTCAAGGAGTCAAGAGTTCAAGAGAAGTCAAGGAGTCAAGAGTTCAAGAGAAGTCAAGGAGTCAAGAGAAGTCAAGGAGTCAAGAGTTCAAGAGGAGTCAAGAGTTCAAGAGAAGTCAAGGAGTCAAGAGTTCAAGAGAAGTCAAGGAGTCAAGAGTTCAAGGAGTCAAGGTTTAAGGAGTCAGTTTGTATTATCATGAAGCAATGTATAATTAAATATGTGTAGGTTCATAGTAATATGGGCAGGCGGCGGATGGAAGAAATATATAGCCCATGTAGGATGAAGCAGATACAATACTAATATATATATATATATTAGTATACAGTGTTTCCCGCTGCATTGACACGAGCGAGGCGGGGACCGGCCTCGGCCAAAATTCTGCACCGCCATAATAGCAGAAAATTTGTGCAAAAGCACTGCATCGCCGTGAATGAAACTTTTGACAAACTTGAAAAAGAGATTCAAGAGTTTCATACACCTGTGTTCAGAATACGCTATAAAGCACCAAAATTGGACCATTTTTTCAAAAAATTCCCCGCGGGAGCATGCATGCAGCACTGCAAGACGCGCCGCTAGCTTGGCGCAGGCACTAGCACTGATCACTTTGCTAGGACTGCGAAGCGCGCAAACAACATGACAAAAAGCATTTACTACCTCAACAGAGCCCTTATTGGCCAGGGGAACAACTGTGTATGTATATATATATATATATAGTATATATATATATATATAGTATA